TCGACTAATAAATGTGATGTCAGAAGCGGTGTTGAGCTGCAGGTGGACACGCTTTTTATTTATATCTAGGTTCACATACTTTCTTTGTCGGCAAATTTGTGCTCGATTATGTGATACTGTAGTGGCATTGAACAATAACCGCACAATCCACAAAGCTGAACACGAGAAACGCAACCTATTATTGTTAATCCTTATTTCCACCTTAACCTTCTCAATCGGATTTTATTTTTGTAAACCCACTATTCTAATGGTCCTTTGATTAATGGTCACATATATTATAGCAATGTGATATCTATTAGTTCACATAACTTACTAGCTCAATCCATAATAAAAGTTGATCATCTATATCAACTAATTAGCTTTGATGGTTCGTTAACAAGCTTTAATAGCATTTACATGCTTCAGCAACATAGACTTGTTTAAACATCAAGCTCTAGCAAATATGACCTGCAAATAGCGTAAGTATACATTGAATAACAATGCAATTAAGGACTAAATAGTTATCTGGATCTAACTCTCAGTGTTCCTTCACCTAACACCTCATCCTGTTTTAAACTATGCACTATCCTGTAATATCTTTTCTTCTGACCACTGCCTGCCTAATTTCATATTTTCGAGTTCCATTGCCAAACAACAATGATGACACTTCTCCAAAAACATACGGTGAGTTTCATCTATAGGTTTTCTGCAATCATAAGGTCATTTTAGATGGCTCGTTCAATAACAACCACACAATTAACTGAATTCATTCGATTGTTCTAATCCGAGCGAGTGGCAGAAACGTCAACACCATCAAGCACCCTGGAATTAATTGCCATACTGCATGCTTTATTCTGGATACTTTTGGATCATTACTTCTCCTTACGAATGGCGTTATATATGTCGTCCACTGAATAATCTAATTTTTAGAAATAATCCAGGCGAGTTCAACTATCTTACTTAATGATTTTTTGTACTGAACATACATATGTTTTCCAGTTGCTTTTGCCATATATTTGTAAGTGTCCCTAGGCTGAATGCAGTAACTTCTTATGGAATGTTTATAACGCGGCATATTCCTGCCTGAAGTTTCATAAGCAGCCTGGTCGTGTTCATTATTTTTTAATTGTCATATACGTCAACAACCTGCTTGTTAACCTGGCCCATACATACGTTACAGTATATCTTCATGTCTTCTAAATTTAGAAATCATCTGAATCGCCTTTAACGTGTATAAATAAACCCATCATAGTCGTTGTTGCTAATCGTATTTGGGTTTATGGATGGGTTTATCATAGTAGCAGCCTAAAATGCAGACATAGTTTAGATAATTAAATTACAAATTTAGGTACTATCAACGGCACTAGGCAAATAACTAAATCCCCAGGTAGCTGTTGACTAAACAAACGTTTAAAATCAAAACTCCGTAGCCTACTAAAATTACCACTAAACGAATATTTCTGAATTGAAAATTATAATATAATTAGGCGTTTCGGATTCTGTAACACTACAAATTTCTGATAATTTTGAATCACCTAAAGCAAAAATACCTATTTTTCCACTGGCTAATCCTCAATCAACACTATAACTAGTTAAACGTAATTGTTTCGAAATATCGTCATAAAGCATTGTCATGACTTGACAATCACGTAATATGATTGATAATATTAATGAAACTATTAACATAACCGGTCATCAAATCGACTTATAATTATCACTAGTGTTGTTTTTCTTTTATCTTCATTCACTACAGATGATTACAGTATGTTTCTCTCTCAGTTGCTCATTCAGTAAATATCTCAAAACCTTGTCAGTCTAATTGATGGTTTAGCGACACAATAATGCATGCAAATAATCAATATAAGCAGTCAAGCAAATCTCCTGCAAACTGAAAACATCAATGTCGAATTTACCCCAACACTGACTAAGGTTCAAGGCATTATCATAGACATGAGTTGGGAGTGTACTCCCCTTGGTTACAACTTATGTTCTCCCTGATAATCACATGAGCATCACTCACTATTAATCATCTTGTAAAAACTTATTTAGCTAAATAAATCTTGCAGCTTCACATCACTTCGTAATATGACACAGGCCTAACTGATTTTAATAACTTGTAACCACTATATCTCAATTAAATCGTGTTCCGCCTTATGACAAACTGCATGCTTGCAACTAACTTGTATGTCCAATCAGCCGGCAAGTATAAATACAAATAAATAGTCTGCCACAGATCAGAACATTGAGTCTAGAGCATGTTTCTTACGGACACACTCATGTTCAATGATTTTATTCCTAGCTATCTATCCAAAATCCATATAATTATCACTCATGTATTGGAATTTTGTTTTAATAACCATTCATGTGTATTAGTAGTATTAATAAATTCTATCACGGTCAAGTAAAAACGAGGTTGAGAAAATCTCCACGTAACTAAATAAACCGTATCAAACTAACTGGAACACTAGTTGGAATTCTTTTCCATGGTAATACTTTTGTTCTTTCAGCTAGCCTACTAATAAAGATGCAATTGGAAATCACATATGGACGGGTTACCGGCATAATTGTTAATTGGTTTCATAATTTAAATCAAAACTAATACCAATATTAACATTTCTACAATATTCATTACTTTAATATTTCTAAACACAAAATACTTACTACCTATACGTTAAGTTATTAACCAACGGCTATTAACACGCATCGTTTTATTATTATTATTATTACTGTAATCCCATTTTTTTATAGCTCAAATAATCTTCACCCAAATTGTCATTTTAAGCGTGTCAAGCATGAAGACAGATTTTTTTAAAAAATTATTACATGTATTTCCCGACCAGATGCTGCCGCCTACTTTTTGATTTATCTTTCAGCTTATCGTTACCCGGGGGATTCTTCCTAGTCTTGGTAACCTTCAACGCACGACGATCCCATCCAATTCGGTATCGAACCAAAATCACGTTATTTCTGGTGGGAGAGTAGTGTAGTGGCATTGAACAATAACCGCACAATCCACAAAGCTGTGAACACGAGACTACTCAGAGAATAGATATTCAATATTTGACACGGAGAAATGCCTAACAATGGAGAAGGCGCGAACAATGAATTGAATGGACTGGATTTGATCGAGTGGCATGGCTCGGCCATGCAGGCGCGGTTCATTTGAATGTTACCTTATATCTTCTATTCATATTAAATATATTGTTCTTTCTCTAGCCTAACCTTGTTCTACATCATGTATTGGTAATTGATACGATACAGTGAGTTGGTGTAGTCGATGGTGTGACTTCCACGTAAGATCTTATAGATTAGGCAGTTATATCATGACAAATCTACAATTTTAGGATTAGGTCTATTATTAGAGCAATACTAATATCATAGTAGACAACTATTCTACAATACCAATACTTTGTTAGTTAGAGCACTATATCTGTATTTCTTTGAGTAAGGTTTCAAGGAATGTCGTTTATGGTTTCTTCTCCCGCAGAGGTTTTCTTCATGTCACTTCCGATGACATTTGCTGCAACAATGTTCTTTATATGGGCAGAAACTCATATAGTGTCAACCTCCACATGACCAACATGTAGACGATGGGTTGGCGCTGTTATTACTATAATTATGCGTGCTGGAACGTTGAAAGACTTTTCTCTTGACTGCATTGACGTTAGGGAAACGGTTACCGTTTCATACCATTGAGATATCATGCTTCAAGTTCACTAACCTTTAGCACTCAGTAGTTGCCTCCTGCAGGGTCATGTTAGGGCAGTGTTCGAATTTGCTTAGGATTCTAGTTAGGATATCAGCATCGGGTGAACGCAGGCTACAGATAAATACTAAGCATTTAAACTGGTCTTCAGACATGGAAGACAATTTGAACCTCTCACATTCTCGGTTCACAATTCTTGCATGTTTCACCCAGTCATCTCCTGATTCTTTCGTTAACTTTAAGCACTGATAGCGGATACTAAATAGAGATGATTGTTCTCCAAAGATTTGAGACAGGGTTTTAACTGTTTCATTGAAACTGAAGTCTCGTGGATTCTTCGGGAGAATAAAGTTGCTGTAGCGTTTATGTTCCATAGTTTCAAGTTTTCTCAGTATTCTGACTTTTGATGCGTCATCCAGTTTGCAAAGATCAATATAAAACAAATCTTCCTACTTCTTAAACCACGACTCAAAAGTTGCACCTGCTACACCATCAAAATTAAATTAATGGACGGCGTTAATGACTGAATCAGTATGTGATACTTGTAACTCACCAGAAGCAGGGTTTCGCTAGGACAGGCAGAATTTCTGCATCAGGGCTTCTATGATTCTGATTTGGGACTCTTCAAACCTCATTTCTTGATGCTCAATATAAGCTTCTAGTTGCTCCAAAGAAATATCCCATCTAGTTTTTCCCGTCGCCACTGATGTCATGAAGTTCTCCGAAAGCCGACTCAACTAATTGGTTGATCAAAAGGTTTTTATTGGTAATGGTCTCAAAAATTATCTTCCAAGACTTATGATACGGTTTGCCTTACTTTCCTACGCCTGGTACTCCTCATGGAGGAGCATAGGTCGCTCACCAGCATTCTCAGCAACTCTCTAGTGTCGAATAAGTTTCCATAACGTCCTTCTATCTACACTGCCAAACGCCTTTTCATAGTCAATGAAGTTGATGTACAGTGACAACTTCTATTCAACTGATTGTCCGACGATGATCAGTAGTGTCGCAATTTGGTCTGTGCACGACCGATTCTTACGGAATCCAGATTGTTGATCTGGAAGTTAGGCGTCTACTGAGTCTTTCATCCGGTTCAGCAACACTCTGTTGAAGAATTTTTCTGGTACTGACGGTAGTGTAATGCCTCTGTAGTTTACACATTTGCATATGGAGTCAAACTACTGGTATTTTTCTACAGAACAAATATCAGTACCCTTGAATGATACATGAATATGGTTACTTGACAGGTATAGCAATTACCGACGTTGAAATATGATCTTTGAAACATTTCATGTATTTTCTTAGCACACAGTTTTGGGGATTGAGTAATGAATTAGGCCTGGTTACGAAACTACGAGTTCGCGCGCTTTGCAAAAAACTAAATGGCTTCAAGGTAGCTTCCCTCGTGTTTTCGTATTAGTTCGGGATTACGCTTTGAAATTGCTTTAAAATGTTTATTTGTCTTTAGAGATAACCGTCTTTCCGTTTACGTTGGTAATCTTCCCCCGAATACTATACAAGGGCATTTCGATTACATATTTGCAGGTTGTGATGTAGGTCCCCTATTTTTTTCTTCATTTATAGTGTAGATAGAAAGTGTTAGATTAGTGAGAGACAAACAGACAGACGAATTCAAAGGGTATGCTTATGTAGATTTTAAAAATGAACAATCCCTACAGAAAGCACTAGCTGTCGACGGTGCGGTATGTCACTGGTTCTCATTTTACTTTTCTGTTTAGATTGTCGACGGACGCTCTCTGCGAGTAAATCTCGCAGGCGAAAGACCTGGACGTGGTATGTTTATTTTTCCCCCGTATTTGTGAAAGCTTCATGTTGTGCATGTAAAACTTTGTGACTGATAGTTATTGGCAAGAAAACATAGGTAAACATTTATTCCTACTTTTAAACTCGAAAGTCTCTATTAACGTGAATTGGCTTCATGCAGCAGACACTGTATTTTGTTAGAAGGTTGTTTTCCAAGCTTCTTTTCTGCTAAACTTTCTTGTCTGGCATGTGAAGATGTTCTCAAATCCTGGTAGATATATTGATGTATTATTATGATGATCCTGTAATAGTTTACAAAATAGCCAGATGGTTACTCTTAACAAGCTCATATTCACAATTAGTGAGATTCAGTGGCTAAGAGATTTCCCTAATTGTGAAGTTAATGTACGTTGCACTACATATGATTTTCAATTATTCACAAATGCGAACGCAGTCAACTTGCAGTTTAAGGTACGTTTAGATCCTCGCCACCTTAAACGCTACAGCGCATTTAGTCTACTATAATTTATTTACAACGGGAAACCTTGGTAACATGAGTTTACAATACCCAGTTGAACTAGCCTTTCTGCGATTGGATCTCAGCTACAGCAGGTTTGTGTATACACAAATAATAAACAGGTAGTATGGGTCACTACCCAATATTCTACAATGTCGAAAAAGTAAAGTGGATAAAGAATCTAACAATTACCGTCTATTATTAACATAGCATTCACAATAGCTATTTTAATGGGTTTGTGTGCCCGTCTTCTGTAACCAGAAATTTAATCAAGTTTTTTGATGACTTGTACTGTCACATGTTTTGCTGTATCTGCATTATCATGCTTTTCACTATCTGAAGGTGGTGGTGGTGGTCAGGGTCAATGGGGTATGAACAACGGATATGGAAATCAAGGACGTGGTGGTTTCGGTAGTCATGGTCGCGGTGGTTTCGGAAATCAAGGACGTGGTGGCTTTGGAAATCAGGGACGTGGTAGACCTAGCATGGGTGGTGGACGGATGGGTGGGCATACTGTTTTTTTTCTTGACTTTTCATCTGGTTTGGTTAATAGGTTTATCTTTCCGACTCACTGTACCGATCAATTTATGTCTGTAAATAGGATCGAGCTTTTTAGGTTTGTCAGCTATAAGTATTCCAAAAGTTGTTTTTAGTGTGGTTAAAATCCCAGACATTTTTCATATAGAATAGGACTCGATTGTTTCGTTTTCACCACAGATGATTTTGTAATTACTTACTGGTGACTTGGATAAGCTTTATTTGATTAATTCACATGGATATTCATTTTCCCCCAAAACATTCACTATGTATTTTTAGTCGTTCTGCATGGTTTTTATGGTATTGAAAATGTGCATTCGAGTAACTTGACTGGGATGCTGAAGTTCGGTTATGATGTATTTTCTGATTCTAAGGTTTTCGCATTCAAACAAAGGATATAAGAGAACCACAGAATAAAACAATGAAAACTATGAGTCATTTCTAAGTGTAATGCTAAGTAGGATTATTTGGCCTAACTTAAATGTGTTATGCATAAAATGGATGTATATTTTTTAACAAACGTGTTTGATGGAATTAAAGGTGTAAGTCTCTGTAAACTGAATAATTGTTACTCATTCGTTTATTGATAGCTTAAAAATATCTACCAGCATGGTCGTAATGATCGAAATCTGTGGGATTTCTTGACTAAACATACTGAGGTTCCTTTTTTAAAAGAACATGCCAAACTGTTAACATCAGTGCTTTACAAATAATAAGATAATATAATCCATTTAAAACACAGACTTATATATTCGGCTGTCAGCCACATTTTACTTGATACTACTCGTCAGCTCAAGCCGACCTAGTTTACTCAGGTTTCTGACTTGCACTCTAATGTCGACCGACCTACCTGACGAGGTGGGAGTCGTGAAGGAACCCCAAATCCTTGGGTGCTATGGGTCACCAGCCACAGATGGCTTACCTCTGACCCCTTTTGAAAGTCGTCCCATTCTATCTTGTGGGTATGGAACATTAGCCATTAGGAATAAAGGATATTCGTAGATTGCTAGTGTTCGACAATAGGTATCTTCGAAGCATTTCCCTTGTGTTTTGGGACCATGGAGTAAGCAATGTCTGGGTAAGGATGGGGAGGATTCTATTCGTGAGGTAGCTGGAATAGACATTGCGTATGCCGAACCAACCGCAACTGATCGATTTCTTATTGGCATATGTGCATCCTGTGTGGATTGCCTCGTTATTTCCTCAAGTCAAAATCATCATAAGCAGAGTTAGATGGGTGCAGCAGCGATGTACTATGAATGTCGTTCCTCCGAATCCCACATCATGCATTATTTACCGATGCTGGGACTGGTTGGAAAAAGTGGAGAGGTGGTCAGTTTACAATACGATCTTAGGGTGTGGACGAAAGCTTCATAGGACTGGGATATATCGGTTCATCCTGACTTCCTGATTGGGTTCCTAGAGATGGTGTAACTTAGTGCCTTGAGACGTTATCAAACATGTCTCAAAATAGAAGCAAGCGGCGATCCTGCTGTGATTTTCTTTTGCTTTCTTCATATAGGTTAGGGAAACTTCGTTAACTGAGTCTTTTCTGGTTGTACTTTTCTTAACTGAACTGCTCTCAGTTTTCTACTCGGTTCATAATTCATCACACTATTGAAATCGAGTTCCTCTAATTATTAAGGAATTGTTTTTATTTTTTAATTATATAAACACATAAACATTGGTACGAGGAGGCACTAAATAGATATGCGCCACATAAATCTTTCGATCTGTGTGAGGGCCGGGATACTCTACGAGTGCCCAAACCGAAGCAGGAATAAAAAATCTCGAAATATTCCTCTTCCATATTACTTTTTTTAGTGTTTGTTATCTCTTTCTTACGGTTATAACCCAGCTATTCCTATTGCTTGGTAATCTTGGACACCAAATCACTCGACAAGTCCCCGAATCAGAACACGGTTGAACAGGAAAGAGATAATATTCCAAATAACAAGGTTAGATGGAAGCAAGAAGCACAGCAGGAAAAGCGTTAGTTTATTCATAGTTTTTACATGAGAAGATTCCAGAGTATTCTCCAAGTATCGACTAGTGCTGATCGGATAAGAATTAGCCAATCAGCGTGCACCAAAGCAATCGTGCATTGAGTATGCTTTAATCCAGTCTATGTCCCGCTAACTGCTTTAAAATACTTTTTACCATTACGTATATATTATAATCTACAGATGAAATGTAAACTATAATTTTTGTTTAATATGTAATAGTGGTTTAACATCTCGATGATGTTCGGCTTATCAACTGTCATTACATCATTTGGCTCATAATTCGTTACAATCACCGTTAGTTTAGGTAACTAGATAAATATTTTTATCATCTATATAAAATATAGCTAATATACTGTTTATTTGTATGTTCAACCAATTATTCTTCGTTACCAAATTGAATTTGAGAAATTTTTATTTCTTGTTTATGTTTTACTATTAGAAAGTTATGGACGTCCAAATAGAGGCGGAATGGGTGGGTTCGGTGGACAACGACAAAGTTACCATCCTCCAGGACTGTCACGAGAGGAATTAAATGAACCTAGTATCAGGAATCCTCAGTCAAATTCTACGGATTCAACCAGTAGTGGTTCGGGTGGTGATCGACCTAAACTAAACCTAAAAATCAGAGAGACCCCTGTAAATACAAATGATGATCGACAATTATCAGAGCGTGCCCGTGCGATATTCGGAGTTGGGCGTCCTCGAGAAGCTAGTCCAATTCGAGAAAAAAAGTAATTAAAGTGTGCATCTGAATTCAGTACTTATTTAGTTTTGATTGAGTTCCATTCCCATACTTCAGTTTTACGAAGTTTTGAAGTATAACCTGTTTAGTAAACGTCCTAAAGTTAGTCAATCGATCGTATGAAACGTACAACTAATCACATGTGAATCATTTCAAGCGGCTACGTCAGATTAGCAACGTTCGAATGCCATACTTAAAAGACAACGGGTTTGAACTTTGACTCAATTTGTTAAGTGTGTAAATTACCTTTAATCGATTTCGTTGTCGTACTTTTGTCGATTTTTCGATTTCATCTTAAGCCTACTAATTATTTCGTACTTCATTTGTAACTTTGTTACAGGTTGGGTTCTGAAGAAAATGCAACCGGTTCTAGTTAATGAGAGAAGATCATTTATATTCAACCAAAGCAACTTGACAATTGTTTTCACCAACATTTCTACGAATATGTGTATTTTTCTTGTTTAATTCGAACATTTCACCCCCCCGTTTTTTCTTACATTACCACATGAATATATACATATATATTTCTATGTATGAACTAATTTCATCTTAAAAGTGTGTTACTTTTTCAATTTGATCTTTTTCTCATTGTATTCACACTTTAGTCTTTAAACCTCATTGTCTTTTCAAATCAAAACGTTTAAATGTACAGGTTGTCCGAGTTTTTTTTCCCGTCAGTTCTACTGCTTGGTTAGAATCTTTTTAAAACAATAGTTCTATTTGTTGTTGTGCTAATTGTCATTGTTGTTTGATTGTAAAAACAAGCTTATCTCCTTGGTAATTGTTAGACAATTTACCCGTTTTCGTTTTTACTATTTGTCTTCATATATGCGTGTGTGTGTGTATGTGTATACATCCAAGTGGGTTGTTTGTTTGTTTTTCTTCTTTCTTTATTACTGAACAAATCATATACATCATTCAATTATCTTCTATATTACTGAATCTGTTTAGGAAAGCATATGTAAAAATAAGAGAATATAATAATCTATTCTCAAAGAGAGACAAAAAACTAATAATAAATTCCTTTTTATAATAGATTTTGTTTTACAATAAAAGAATGAATGATTTATACTGTTTGTTGTATTTAGATTACATAGATGGTGATTGGAGGTACTCGACAGGAAACCCTGGACCCAGGTTTCGTGCTACTTGGCACTCGTCAGCAAGGTGTACTTGTAATCTTGAGGGGACTAGTGCTCCTTGGCGGATTCGATCTCGTGTCACCCAGCTTCCGCCAGAGAGCACCAGCACTGGTATGGCCGAGAGTGGGGTGGACCCGCCCTCCCTCTCGAAATGCTCTCACACAGCCACGCGTAAATAGCCTCTGCCAGGGAAGTCCTACTCACTGCCTTCTCGTGGCGGGGGTGTTGTTTACGGAAATGAGAGGACGAAAAGCGAATGCCGGCGCTTTAACCGGATTCCAAATCAATGGTGCACATGGGCTCCAGTATCCTGCGGGAACAAATGGCGTATGAACCAATTGTTGGTCACGGGCTACCATGGGGCGGCATCTCCTCACGATGCTCCACTGCCTTGTGGGTTAGACCTTTAGGTCAAAGGCTCGGGGAGTGGCCCCCTAAGATAACCACCTGCTTCGGTCTGGGCATCCGAGCAGTATCACAGCCCGCACACAAATATGATGAACTGTCGATAATTATGGAAAATACTTTTCTTGCTTCAACTATTAATCAAACGATTCACATTATTTTTATTACTATTGTTATTATTTACTACATCATTTATTCACTCTCTTTTATTCCTACTCTGTCTATCCTTATTTTTCGACTTATACAGCAGCTCGTCTATGGTGGAAATTCGGTTCTATCTAAACGTTCTCGAGTAGAGACGTTATCAGATATGGCTCAGAATAGAAGCCAGTGGCGATCCTGCTGTAACCTTTTACTTTCGTCATAAAAAGTGGTTGCTTCTTCCTTAACTGAAATATCTCATCTGAGTGTACGTTTCTGTTTCCCCCATTATTATTATTACATTACCTTACACTAATCTGTTCGTTATCGTTTTTTTTACGCTCCTTACCTTTTTTTTCCCTTCTCTGCAAGTTCTCATTGTTTTGTGTGGCGCATATATATTTGGTGCCCTCCTGTACCAATATTTATGTGTTTAAATAAATAAATAAACAGGTACACCTTGCTGACGAGTGCCAAGTAGCACGAAACCCGGGTCCAGGGTTCCCTGTCGACTACCTCCAACCACCATCTAATCTCAATATATAATGCCCGCAGTGTCGAGTCACCTACCTAGACTGATGACCACATTGCAACATGGTCGATAGCATTCGATCTGCACTGAATAAGAACTAGACACGCATGATCAGTCAATTGTGATTAGATTACATAGTTTACCTTATTCTTATTCTTCTTTATTATTTTATAGGTAAGACTTGTGAATGGGTAGACGTTTTATCTGTGATTATTGTGACAAATCATTTCCAGATAATCCAATTAATCGAAGAAATCATCTTAAAGGTGTCCAACATCAACAAGCTCGAAAATTACATTATGATAAATTTCTTGGTAGGATTATAAATTATGAAATGTGATTTCATTTTATAAATATATATATATATAGATCCTAAAGAAAAACTTAGTATAGAGAAAGCAAAGAAACCATGTATAACATTTCGTAATTCTGGTACATGCACTTATGGTCCATTGTGTAAATATTCTCATATAACCATCGAAGAGATTCGCATATTAGAAGAGAAATCTAGTAAGATAATAATAGTTTTGTTTATTTATCAAAATTTAGATGCTGAACTTCTTGCTTCATCTTACTTAAATCATTTAACATCTGAAGTGAATATTAATAATCAAATTAATATATTAGAATCAAAATTAATATCTAGGCGTGATAAACAAACAAATTCTGGATCAAATAAACAATTTCATATTCCAGAAGGAATACAACTATTATATCTACCTCCGTCATTGTCTTTACATTAAATATTCCAGATAGATGCCTGATTTTTATCTTTCAAAAGATTTGTGTATATCGAAAATTCATTTGAGGATTCCACATGTTTCTATAGTGAGGTTTTAATTGATAGACAAATCAATCAGATTTCAAATAAAGAGTTATAGATTTTAGCATCAACTTCTGATTTCTCACACTAATTCATAAACCTATTTAGACCTTTTTAAGTTGGTGCAATCTCTCAAGGTCACTATGACATCACTTAAAGGTTGTCTATAAATTCTAACTCCACTTTATGGGACTTCTTTGATGGTTAAAGGATTTTTGTATATTTACGTTATGGAAAATAAAGTACTTATTACTTTTTAGGCTGTTTGGCCTATTACTCTTTTCTTTTCAAATATTTTCTATTTGTTCGGGTTCTTTTAGTTAGTCGAGGGAGGGATTTAATCGTGAATAAGATGATCTTGGTTGTTGCTAGAAGTATAAGGGTGGAGGGATATTTCTTCTTTAGGGGTCTGAAAAACCGGACTTTTGGTGACCATAGAGACCTGGGAGCGTGATCTCCTGAGCCCGGTCACTTATGACATTTCTGTTGGACTTTTTTGAACTGTTAACTCCGCACTTCGATAGGCCTTACCGCTGGAGACAAAAATCCATGGGTAAAGTGAGGTGTGACATTTCAGGGTTGACCTTTTCTAACCCCTTTCGTTGTGAGAATACAACATCACTGTCCGAGGGAAGTACCTTACTGCCTTAGCGCCCCTTTGCACTCGGCAGTACGACTTCACCATCGTGCCTTAATTTACTGCTTTTAATCTTACCGTTCTCCAATCGACCTGCTTGGTATAGTAGAGTTTAACGGAGAATTTGTTTTAACCAATATACCACGTCAAGATAGCATATACAGTCGAGTTCATTCAATTCATATAGCCCCCACCAGCGCAAATATGATACTACAACCTGAATTCTAAAAGTTTAAGCAGTTAGCATAATAACATTTAGTTTATTGATTGAAGTATAAAGTGCTTCTTTTTTAATAGTTTTTCTTGGATTACTGATATTGTTGCACATGTAATCAACATACAAGTACATCAACGAAATGTTATATGGTGACGTGTTTCGTCTTTCTAATTTGAAAACCAAGTAAATGACCGAATCACATTGCTGTAAGAAGAGCCAAACAGACGTAACGCATTAATGTATGTATTCTTTGTAACCTAGATCACTGAGTTTTCTAAACGAAGGTATTTGCAATACGTTTGAATTACATCTATTTACAACACAAGTGTTTCTAACAAATTCTCAAGTTCCGCATTGTGTGCTACAGTCGCCAACGCTTTTCAATACTAGCTCGATAAAATAAGTGTATATCACTATTATTGTTTACTGAACAATCCAAGCAATAAAATTACTTGTTTTCTTTTCGCCCGAGAACTCACATCAGCAATTTCAATTTTTATTGGTCACCAACAGACCCGAGATTATATTGATATAACACAGGACCTGGCATGACTGCTTAATCAGAGATACTTATACACAGCGACTTTTTGATTCATACAAGTAAGGAAGAGTGGTGAAATTCCTAGTGAGATGACAATACAATTAACGATTACCACAGTGTGTAAGATAGAGCGACCAATAGCAGTGGGAATCTGTTAGGTTGCGAAGGCCGAGGTAACGATTGTTGCGGGAAGATCCGTCAGTTAATTCACTAGAATATAAATTGAAAGTCATTTTGTTTTCTTGACTCCAATAAATTACCCGCAGTTTTTTGTATAAGGTATGGTTCGGACGTTGTGTTGAAAAGCAGTATCTGTACATTTTTTAAAACCATTTTGGATGCTTATTTTACTGTTTGGGAACTTAATCTTGTGATTCTATTGATTTAACTCGATCATAACTGGCATTCATTACTTCGCCTCTTTAAGATCCTTCGTAAATTGAATAAGTAAATGAATGTATACAATCGTCAATTCAGTCAAGGTAGAGTGTAACATAAATGTTTGTTACTATAATATGACGGGATGACGAGATAAAGTTAACAAAGTAAGTAATATGTGTAGTGAGAATGACTTAACTTTGAGAATATGATTTGGAAAGACAATAAAAAATTATAAGTGGAAGAATAATGTGACTCATAGGATATAGAGTAAATCCATCTGTTCCAGCGTGACTCGTCCTGATTAGTGAATTGTAATTTAGCGTAGATGGGAGGTGTATGAAGATAAATCATAGTTGGCTTTTGTCACATTAATACCAGCTGACAACCTATTAAAAAACCTAGAAATAATGAATCTCTATCTTACTTGGTTTCTTAACAGTGCACATCTGTAGATAGTTGAGAAATAACACAATACCTTTGTTGAATTGTAAATGATTTAAACGAATAGTAACATTCATGGAAAACAGGTTACTAAATACAAAAATTCGGATTTGTAAGTTATATATTAAAACTCAATCTAAAATAGCAAATATATCTACATTACCGCCAGCCACCCAATTCGAATTATTTTATTTACGATCTACGACCATAGGTTATGATGCCTTGGTACGGCCGAAATTGGGGAGAGGCAGCTCTCCCTCTCGAAATGATCGCACATGGCCACGTGCATACAATCACTGCATGCTCGTGGCGGGGATGTTTACGAAATTGAGAAGACGAAATGCGAGTGCCCGGCGATCTAACCGGGTTGGTGGATGTGGAGGACCAACCTAGGAGAGTTAGAAAACCCTGACTACAACCCCATAGTACACATAGACTCCAGGATTCTGAAGGAACAAATGGCGTATGAACTAATCATCGATCACCGGCTACCGTGGGACAGCATCTCCTGATGTTGCTCCATCGTCTTGTGGGTCAGATGTTTAGGTCGAAGGCTCCGGGTATGGGCTAATTAAACCACCTGCTCCCGTCAAGACACTAGGGCAGTATTACAGCCCACATACAAATCAAATGGCATGTGTGGCGCATATGTATTTGATGCCCCTTTGTACTGATATTTATGTGTTCAAATAAATAATAAATGATCATTAATCGACTAACTTGACTGTCATCTGTTGATGTTGTTAATTTGCAAATTTTTTCTATTATTAA